TATATATATATATATATATATATATATATATATATATATATATATATATATATATATATATATATATATATATATATATATAATAGACATATATAATAATTATTATAATAAAAATTAGAAAATATAAAAATTGTAAAATGATAAAATAAATTTAATAACGTAGGGGAGGTGCAAAATGTATTAAGCTAGTAAAAAGGTGAGGTGCTAATAGAAAGGGTCTGAATTCAGATTTTGAATCAGGCGCAAAGGCTAAAGGCGATGCATTTTTATGTTAAACAATAAAAGAGGGGGGTGTCAAGAGTTAGGGGCCCAAGTCCAGATTTTGGACTGGGCCCGTTTTGGCCTGGGGGTGTACTTTTGCAAGTGTTTAGTATAAACAAAAAAGAAGGTGACCTTAGTATTAGGCTAGGCCCAACGTTCTGGGAAAGGTTCGTGTAGACTGAGTGCAGATGGGTGCATAGAAACTATTGTGGACGCGCGCTTTGGAACATGGGATTGTGATCATGAGGTTGAGATTGAGGGCATATGGTGGTAACGATGGGCTAGCGCGCATGGAATTACAGCGTACAATTTTTTTTTCATTTTTTACAAAACAAAATTTGTTTTCTTTTCTTTATTACCTCACTCTCTCTCTCTCTGTCTCACCCTCATATTCTCTCCTCTTCCTCTATCATTCAACATAAACTATAGTTCCTCAATCCGCGGTAGCGTTCCCTTCCAATCCAATCTCAACACCCAACATCCCCCCACCAAACATAATCATAGAATGAACGAGCAATAAAGATAAGTGTATTACCTCCTTCGAATCTCTGAGTTATTCCGCGACCTATCTTCTGACCTCTCCTTCATCGTGTCCTTTGACAGGTACATTGATGATGGATGGTGGTGAAGCGGTAGTGACTGAGGGCGCGTTGGTGTGACAAAGGAATCGGCGATATTCTGAAGAACTAGGGCTTTGAATATCAAAGCCTTAGTCTAGAACATCGGGCTTGTAGCGGCATGGTAATTTCGTCGAAGGTCTTTCTGATTCAACAAATTTCAAGTCTTCTTCCGCAATTCGTAAATCCTCTCCATTTTCAATCTTCTCCGTCTCTCTTCTCTCTGTTTTTTATTTTAGCTTACATAGAGATTTTAGTTTAGGATTAGATTAGGAAAAGATTAAACTTGTCTGTAAATTGATTGTAGTTTAATTTGGGTTTGAATTAGTTTCTGGATTTGCTTAATTTTGTTTATAAACCATATAAAACACTTAATGTAGTTTTTGTTTTTGTCTGAGATTCAATTTTGTATATGCATTGATTCGGTTCTGGAAATAGCATGCTTTTGTAATGTTTGATATTGATTTTAACTTTGTTTCTGCATTTGTTAATCGATTCAAAGCATGTGCCATTTTACTTAATTCATACGGTAAATGTTTTTTGTTGTCTGAAACAAGGGTATCTTGAACGAAATGGGCATGTGGCCCAAATTCTGTCCACTCAAAAACGCTTTTCATTTGAATAAGCAAATTGGTTAATTAATAACACTGGCAATAAACAAAATTTTTAATAATATAATGTCTAGAACAAAACAAAAAAAACTGAATAGGACTCCTGGTTTTGGGCCGTTTGTTATCGTTTTAACTAAAACAAAAGCCTCATTAAAGAACTGTTATAATAAAAAACAAAATAACCTCTTCCAAACCAGACCCAATAAGGAGTTTACTGGGCCATATTGTTTTATTGGGCCTCAAAATAAAAAAAAACATATTGCTTAAAAAATACCTAAATGGACCTCCAGATTCGAAACACGAGAAAAAATTGAAACGGGCTTGCTTATGCTATAATTATTGGGCCTCAATCAAAAATCAATCAGTTTTACACACCTTGATTAAAACATAGAAACCTCTCATACCAAGCTTGAAATGTACTCCCTTTCTAAAACACAATGGGCCATCAGATATTGATGGTCCATTTTGGATCAATACAAACCTTCTTTAATTTTAAGACACCCCTATAGAAGTAAAGAGGTACAATGCGATTTACTTAAAAGAACCCTTAAATATAAAACAAAGAGTATGGAAAATTTGGGGTATGACACATATTTCCTCTCCAGTGAAGTTTGTCAGAGTTTTCTTAAAGAGGTTTTTGATTACATATATGAGATTCTTGTATGTACCCCCATGAAGACGATTATCATCTCCAATGAAGTGATATTTCTTCTCCCTAGTACAAGTCCTTTCCAGCATGAATCTTGCAAAGATGGCTATTACCAGTGCAATTGGTATTGCTGATATTGCTTTCTAAATCTTCTCTACTCCCCAGTAGAAGAGGTAGCTTTCTCCCCAGTCGAAGTCGAATTTCAAGGACCTTCTGAATTGATTTTCCTATTATTCCTCAGTGGAGTAAGTTTTCTTTCCCAATAAATGTCTTGTTTCCTCAGTGTGGTGTACATGGGGAACGCTGGTCAAATATCATTTCATCCCTGAAACAACCGGCAGAAATATCATCGAGATAAAATCAATGAAGTCGCCATCAAACTTTTTTTATCCCACAAGAAGGGAAAGGTAAACATCGAGTAAACCTGAGAAGGGTGAAATCACGATCAAACGACTGAGAGATCGGGTAAGGGAGTCTGTTACACGAGAGGGATATATTAGCACCCCGCATGCCTGTAGTACTATACGATATTCACTCTTGTTATTCTAATCAAAGGGTTTGTTCAAATCTAAGCTTATGAGCTAATAAGAAAAATGAAAAGAGGGAATGCATGCAGAGAAAACAAACAAGGGGGAAAAGAAGGAAATATTTACAAAGTTTTGCTCAGCTGAGCTCCGTGACTAGATGCCTACGTATCTGTTTTAAGGAATCAGAGCGTTGTAGGGATCACATGTTTCGGTTTGTTTTGTATTTTTTAATGAACAATATTAATTTCTTCTTCTGCTGCAGCTCGACCTTTGGAGACTCACGCGTCAACACGGAAGTGAATTAACATGTTCTTTTGAAAGTTTGAAAGAAAAAGCCCGAAGACGAAAAGAGTTTGCATTGGTTGATATTTTTTACCTTAAAAAGGAATTGAAAGTTGTTATATGTTTTATGCATTTTCCAAGAAAAAGAAGGTTTTAATTTTAAGGATGCAAAAGAAAGAAAAACATCTAAGGGATACTATATAGAATCTAATCCTAATGTTATCATACAATGATTGATCCTAAGGTTGAGTTTTGAAATGGAAATCTCTACCCTATGTTAGCATGCATAAATTACAATCCAAATGTCTATCTCGAATCACCACCAAAGGATGAATCAAGAACTCCTAAGGGAACGTAGCAAAGGTTCACAACCTAAACTTATGTCTATCTCGAATAGCCACCAAAGGGTGAATCAAGAACTCCTGAGGGAACATGCCAAAGGTTTACAACCTAAGAAAACATGTACACAAGGATGGAAAGAAAATAATCCACAAGCTCAAGAGAGCACACACATGTCATGAGTAGCGCACGCTAACTCAAGTAAAAAAGGCCTAACCAAGATATCGAATCATTAAGGTAGGTAAAAGAGGGAAGATCCTGACCATAGGTATAAATGTCATATCACCTAGGCAAGACGAGGGTCTTGAATGCTAATCTTAACTAAGATATCAAACAATCGAGGCAAGAAGTATAAAATAGAGGGAGTGAAAAAAAAACATGGAGCGTCAATGTCGACAAACGTGAGCTCAAGCCAAAGTATGGGGGATTGATTACAAATCCCTTTCCATCTGACCGACTTGATAACAAGAGTAGCACACTCAAAAGCATCAGCGTACAACGCGATCTAAGGATGACACGAACTAGAAATGCAGGGGTCAATTGTGAACCCTTTTCCACTCGCCTTCTTTTAAGGACATACCAAGGGGGAATGGGAATGGGCGCCTTCTCTGATGTCTTTAGGCACAAATGTAAACACACAGTAAAAATGCCTACTTCGAGGTAGGTCTTTAAACAAACCACAAACACAATTAGCAAACCAATGTGGAATTGCCTTAAACATGTCTTTAAATAAACCAGAGGGACTCCTGACATAATCCAAAATGGATGTCCCCGTCACACATCTTTATCCTACTTCTCATGGCATCAAAAAGTTGTAAAGTGCAGAAAAGATAAACTAGGATTAGAATGATACCAAACGAACAATAGTTCATAGCACAATAAGCAAAGCAGAGAAACCAGGAAAATTTCGTGCAAGCTAGCATCAACAACAAGAGAATAGCCAAAAATCGAAAATGTGAAAATCAATCACATGTGCAATGTGTGCATCAAAAGCATCCACATCACTGACAATATACCTGCACAAGAATTCACAATTCAGACAAAAAACACAAGCAATATATGTTTCTCATGTAATGAGAATCAAGATAAATCACGTCGGAAGTGAATCTCAAATCCACAAATAAAGTGGAATGCAAAAATGCTTTTCAATCGAAATAAATAATTGAAAGCTCTCTTGAAATGTCTTGCACAAATCAATAAATGAATTAGAAATAACAAGGAGATGACAATCGAAGTTAACATCTATATAACAAATTAATTTCTAAAATCAATTAAAAATCTAACAAGCTTTTTTTATTGATTTCGTAACCATTTTATCACTAATTTTATATCAAAATTATGAAAAGAAAAATTAATAGAAAACCAATGCAATTCTATATAGAGGGGGTGTAAACTGAATTAGGAAGTGTATTGTAGCAAACAATTGAAGCCAAAGTCCATCAACATGAGATCCAAATGCTATTTTTTTGTTTCAGTTCTTCGAGTCTTCAAAAAAAAAACTGATAGGCTTAGAGGGAGATGGCTCGGTCCACCAAGTGATTGGTCTAACATATTTCTGTTGTTGTTTTCAATTATCTTAATCTCAGAAATTAACAGAATAAATAAAACAAACAATAAAATGCAATAGCCTTGTTAAACGGTGTGTTTAGAGGGATTGTTTAGGGTTCAAAGAGGGGGTGTCGTTTCATCTTCCTCTCTCAATCACGACGGCGTGATGACTAATCCCTCCTTGTACTCTCCTTTTCCGATCAACTACCCCCATCTACAGACTCAACTCGCGGCGACCTTATCTTCTCCCTCAAACGGTCGCGACGACTTCTCCTCTTCTCACCTTCTTTTCTCACATTACTCCAATCATTCGTCCTCAACCTCTTCGACGAATCATCAACATCACACCTCAACACCACACCGTTGTTCTTATTCATCTCTACTCACAAGGTTTGCTCGCAATCAAACATCAAAACATCAAGCGCATAGATGATGATAAATGAAGGTTTGAGGCTTACCGATCGGAGTCCGTCCGATGCAGTTTTAAAGGCGACGATAAGGAGAAGACTAGAGGAAACTCTTCAACAATTCAGGTATGCGTCTCAGCTTCTTGCTTCGAACCATGTTTGCTCACTCATTCTTCTTCTTCATGTTCGATACTGCATTTGGTGTTGATTGATGCGTTGCATTTCGAAATCAATGAAGATTGTTGTTGTTGTTGTTGTGGAGTTTCGTTGAATATGATGCTGCAACTTGGAGATGCAGAAGATTGGCGCGTTGAAACGGTTACATATATGGGATTGAGACGATGAAGATGATGATGGTTATGAGCTGCAGAAGAAGCTTGTTGTAAATGATGGATGAAGTTTGAAGATTGCAGAAATTATGATGAAGATTGGGTTATGGAAGTTGAAGATTGCAAAGAGGGAGCACTGAGAATTTTTATGGAGATTTTCTTGGTGTGGATTCTTCAAAATGGTGAAGAATGAATGTGAGTCAAGGTAAATTTTTGTTATCTATGTCTGTTAGAGTTTTTTAGAAATATGAGCCATAGGATCTTGAGAGTTTGTTACAGAATGGAGAGTGAGGATTGCATCAGATATGATGAGCTGTTATTTTGTTTTCAAGACTTTCCGATAAAAACTCTCCTTTCTGATTTAATGAATTTATATTTTTCTGATTCAATGAGCTGGAAAATATAAATTGGTTATGGACTTAAAAACCGGTTAGGGGTTATGCTTTTGTTTTCTGGATAACTGGTTTTGATTTATTTTTCTTCTCACTTTCTGTATTTCCTGATATGTATTTCTCACTGCTTCTTTTCTCTTTTCAATGGTTTAGTTTTGATTTGTAGGCAATTTCCCCCTTTAGCTAGGACTTGGCACGATTTTATATTTGGTTTAGTAGCTTGATTTTTTTTGTAACTGTGAATTGTCATGAAGTCTGGACTGATAATGTTGTATTGCTGCAAGTTTGGGAAGTGTTTAAATGTGAATGCAACTAGTTCATATTGTTGCAGTGCCATAGTTTTGACAGGTTAAGGAATGTTATGCAAACACGTTCAAGCTAATGTATATTTGGTGTTGAATTTATTCATCAAAATTGCAGGGGATTATGCACTATTGCAGGTCGGATTACGCGACAAGGAAGAGCAAGATTTCATAGAATTTTGGCTACAAGTCTGGAACAAGTTTGGAATTATTTTGGCAGCCAGTCTTTTGAGAAGTTGTAGCATCTTAAGGAACACTTACGCTTAGGATAGATATATAAATTCTCTTTTGTTTGTAATTCCTCAAAATGTAATAGTAATACAACTTGCGATTTGTAATTTTGAAGAGAAACATGAATGAGATTTGCATGGTTATGAAACCTTTTGGATGAACTTGAACTGAATTTGAATGATGACTTGAATGATTTATCCTCGTAACTCGAATACCGACCTGAACTCACTTTTACTCAATGACATTTCTGGCTGCAACTTCAAATCCTCTTTAACTCAATGAAACTCCCAACTTCAAATGCTCCAAACATAAGTGACTTGTTTTACAAGTATTTGAAAGAATAATGGTACCCTAAAATCCAAGAAACTTGTATTTCAAGAAATCCACATGAATCTTCCTTCCAAACTTAGCATGTGTAAAACCTTAATAAAATGATTCTTTGTATGAATGAATCTTACTTCAATTCTCATTGGAACCTAAACTCAAATTCCAAACCAACCTGTATTTGCAAGTAACAAACAATTGAGAACAACCAAGCTTTTATCATAATGACCCCTTGCTTCATATCTCGTATCATGCTTCACACTTTTGTAATTCAACCCTAAAAGGCAATTCAACTTGGTAACCGATGATATCAAGATAAATGCCTTGAAGAAAACCTTGAAGAAGATAGTTTGAGAACTTGAGGATGAACCATAGCTCAAAAGATTCTCCTCTGAAGTATTGACGGAAACCCTAACATTAATTAAAAAATCAACCCTAATTCCACTAAAACTTAGCTGAATGTCTACCAAAACCGAATCACAAAAAATTAAAACCTTATTCTTTCGAGAAATAAAGAGAAATAAACTTTGATTTAAGACCTTGGTGAATTTGGAGAATAATAATCCCTATAACTTGATGAAAAGAGATCCCGAATCAAAACCCTAATTTCTATAAATTCACTGCTTAAAGAATCAGAAGAATCAGACTTTATTTGATATGTGCGCCTTAACCACTATAAAACCCTAATATTGCATTACCACTGAACTTCGAACCTTAGGTACTTTATTGAATGCGATATTATGTAATTAACCTAATGAAATATATGCAAATGAATGCAAAAGCCTAAGCCAGATAAAATAAATTAGGAGGGAAAATTTTGGGGTGCAACAATCCCCGGTGATGGAAGATGGTTGAAGTATCCATAGTGGAGTTCTATTCAGAAATGCTTACTTCTTCCCCAAGTGAAGTTTTTTACTCAGCGGTAAAATCCCCAGTGTGGTCTGAGTAGATTTATTTTTATTTAAGAATTTCTATGATCTCCAGTAGAAGTTATCATCATCAAAAACTTTACGCGAGAAAGTTTCCATTCCCAACGAAGCTCTCCTCATCTTAACAGAAGGCTAAGGAATTTGTTCCCCAGGAAGTCAAAGAGTTAGATTAGAGTTCAGGATTTTCTCTGAGCTGCAATTTATTTTTGCAGCATTCTCCCCAGGAAGTTACTTCCCTAGTGATATCGATCTTTAGAAGTCGATGGTTCTGAATCTTGATTCCCCATTAAAGTTCAGATGGATTATTCTCTACAGAAGATCAGATGTGCAAAGGTAATCGTTCAGAAGTTCCTTGTCTTCTCAGCAGTCGATTATTTCTATATTTTCCCAAGTGCATTGCTAAACATGCATCATTATATTGTATTTACCAAAACAAAAGAAAAAAATTCAAACATGCATAAGTATAAGTCAATTATGTTTATCTGAAGTAACCAGATTGTTATGCGCTCGAACTTGAATTACCTCCGCAACAAGCCTTTAGGGTGATCCTATCATGTTTCCCATACGGAGTCTATTTTGGTTTACCACCAGTCAGGTCTTTGGTTTTTCCCTTTTCCCAATGAGTCGTGGTCTTTCCTTGCCCCTACAAGCCCTTGGTTATTTTACCCGTGTTTGCCCTGCCGTTAGAGTGTGCGTAAGAGTTGGTGTATAACCTTTCTTATTTATCAAGTATTTGAGTATCCATACTTGGTGTGTGGTAATTCAGATAATTGCCACTCTTAGAGAATTACACCCTGCCTTTGGCCTGAGGGATATTGTATTTATTGCGCATTTGCAACCTCTTAAAGTCCAATACGTGTTGGCAATCCTCATCTAGAGTCCTTACATATTAATCTCTTTTCTATTTGCAAATTATCCTTCAACCGGCGTTCTATTTGTGTTCAATATGAATGTTAATTCCCAGTTAAATTCACTTATGATCAGTGTTTTTTCCCCAAGAGTCTATCTTCATTTAATCTCCTTGTCATTGCAGGTTCGCTCTTGTTCAAGCGTCCATTGTTGGAGCCGTCTTTGATCGGTATCTTTCCTGTATATGTCTAATTATGACCAGACATGTATATTTATATCCTCAATAAATCCGCCTTTGATCGGAGAGATTCCTCTAAGGGTCTAGTTTCAGCTATTCTTCATTTCCCGTGAGTTCGCCTTTGATTCAGGTGTTCTCTATTTGATCGTTGAGTTCCTTTTTTATGTAAGTGTACTTTGTTCGATCTTTGAGTTTCACTTTTAATTCAAGAGATCTCTGTTTGATACCTTTGAGTCCTCTTTTGGTTAAAGAGTTCTTTATTTGATTCCTATGAGTTCGCCTTTGATTTAGGTGTTCTCTATTCAATTGTTGAGTTTGTTTTTTATGCAAGTTTTCTCGGTTCGATCTTTGAGTTTCTCTTTTGATTCAGGAGATTTCTGTTTGATATCATTGAGTCCTCTTTTGATTCAAGAGTTCTCTATTTGATGTCCTTGAGTTCACCTTTGATTCAGGTATTCTCTATTCGATCGTAGAGTTCGTTTTTTATGCAAGTGTTCTTTGTTCGATCTTTCAGTTTCTCTTTTGATTCAAGAGATCTTTGTTTGGTATCTTTCAGTCCTCTTTTGATTCAAGAGTTCTCAGTTTGATATTTGTGTGTTCGCCTTTGATTCAGGTGTTCTCTATTTGATCTTTGAGTTTGTTTTTTATGCAAGCATCCTCTGTCCGATCTTTAAAGTTACATCTTTTGATTCAAGAGTTCTCTGTTTCATGTCCCTGAGTTCGCCTTTGATTCAAGTATTCTCTATTCAATCGTTGAGTTCGCTTTTGGTGCAAGCATCCTCTATTTGATATTTGAGTTTATCTTTTGATTAAAGTGATCTTTATCTGATGTTTTTGAGTCCTCTTTTGTTCCAAGTGTTCTCTATTCAATATCTTTGGGTTCCCTTTTGATTCAAGAGTTCCTTGTTTTCCCTGTTGAGTTCACTTTTGATGCATGTGTTCTCGGTCCGATTTTGTGAGCCCACTTTTGTTGCAAGTGTCCTCTGTTGATATCTTTGAGTTTGTTGTTTATTCAAACGTCCTCTGCCCAATATCTCTGAGTTTGCCTTTGATTTAGGTATTCTCTGTAGAAGTCTATATGCGGTTAGTCTTCTTTCTCCTCTATGAGTTCACTTTTGATGCAAGTGTTCTCCATTGATATTTCTGAGTTTGTTTTCTATTCAAGCGTTCTCTACCTCTACCTTTAATTTCATCTTTTATTCAGGTGTCTTTGGTCAGTCAAAATTATATATGTACAATTTTGGTCAGGCGTGTATAACCAAACTCTTTTTTTGTGTGTCTAACCTTGACCTGACATACATCTATCCCTAATAACCACTATCCACAAAAAGAAAAGAAAAAAGCAAAAAAAATAGAAAATACAGAAAACCAAAAATATAATAATAATCGACTGTCTTCATAGTGCAAATTTTACGGTTCTATTAAATACCATGTCATTAGGCTTATACTCATGGAATCGATGTATTTCTTTGCAAGAAAGAGGTTCTAAATTTGACTGTTTCGTTAAGCAGCACCGTGAAGCACAACTTAGGGTTTTCTGCATTGTAATGCACTCCTAGTGGTTTCCAAGCTATACAATCAACAACTAAGCAAGTCATCATCACATCAAGCTCTTATGTGTTACAACAAGCTCTAAATTGTGCATTAAGTTGAGCATTGCAGATGATTTGAGACAGTGCAGACAAAAATTTAATACAATGCATCTCAAGCTAAGAAATTCACAACTTGAGTACAGATAATGTTTTGGGATTATTTCTTCATTCATTATAACCGTCTTGAAGTCTTCTTCATTTCACTTGTTCATGTTTAAGTCTAATTTTGTGAGGAAGATTTTCTAAAGTGCAAAATACGTAAATTGCGGTATACAGTGGATTTACCGTTTCTCTGGCTTTCGGACGCTTAAAAATTCATAACTTATGACTGAAGAATCATATTTGACTACCTCTTGGATAATTTGAATCATCTTATTATTGCCTCCAACTTTCGTGTTCGGCTCGAGGGCCAATTCATTAAGGAAGATTTCTGAATGTGCGAATACTTTGAAGATAAGCAATGAAAAATAGTGAAAATACTGAGCTGAACCGTTATTTTTCGGACGTTCAGAAATTCATTAATTTCTTCTGGATCGATGTTTTTGGGTCATTCTTTGGGCAAAAAATTTGTCTTGATTTTATCTTCAATTTGTATGTTCGGGCCAAAAGCCGATTCTTTGAGGAGGGTCCCGGAATTATGGATTACCAGAGAAATTTTTTATGCTAAACCAAAATTTTAATTCGCCATTTTTCGATATTGTAAAAATCACAACTTCTTAAATTTTTATCGTATCAAGACGATTCTTTCAGGAAAATTTCACGAATGATGTCAACTATAATTTTGCTTCAAACCCCGAGTTCGGATTTTGATCAGAGGATTTTATTTCACGCATTCTTTCAAAACTGAACGGTGAATTTAACTGAGAAAATTT